TGACCGTGTCTGCGGTAAATATGTCTTGGATAACGCCTCAAAACGCTGGAAATGGCATTTCCGAGAGTTAAAATTTCAGAAATTTCCGACCCCCCTAGTACCTCCTCGCCGCTAGCCCCCCCAAACAAGATCCCGCTCCGCGGTCCCTGACTATGTGTATTAAAGTAGTTCTTGATTGATTGTGAGCTGAAGCACTGATGTAATCTCACGATATCGCTACTATTAAAATATGGACGACTATGAACCATTTTTATAGACGACTATGAACCATTTTTATAGACGACTATGAACCATTTTTATAGACGACTATGAACCATTTTTCGCGCTCTGCTGCACGCAAGGTCTGCAAACTAAGTTCTCTTCGACCCCCTCTGCAATCTTGGAGATTCGCCTCACAGCTAACGACTGATGATTTATCCATTCTTGTCATTTATTTTTTCGCGCCAGAAAATATGTTGACAGAAATAATCGTGACTTCATACTAATCGGCACGCGTTCAGCCAATCGTGACATACTTCCGTCTGGGTAAATCATTGACAACAAAGCCAGGTTACTTAGCTACATCAATACCGAACTTGCAAAACGTTTCCGAGCCTTTATCCCATTAAAACTAGACCTAAAATACTTTATTTTACTTTCACAATGGGTGCAAACCCCTCCAAAGACGAACCCCGAAGACTAACGCGTGAAAGCGAAACGGAAAATGATACTGGCTTTGAAGATTTAGGGCGATATCAGGGGGCGAAGAAAGATGGCAAGCGTCATGGACAAGGGATTTATTTTTTCGACAATGGTGATATTTATGACGGAGAGTGGCGTAAAGGGCGAAAGGAAGGCTTTGGAACTTATCAGTTTTCAGACGGAAACAAGTAAGTAACCTTGCAGTCTATTTACTGTCGAATCCATGCATAGATCTACCTAATTTGGCTTGTTTACCGGCATTTGATTTAACTGAGGATACCCTACTGCCCGTCAATTTTAAATATTCGCAATTATTCTGTTAATGGAAGCCATTATTTAATTCAGTGTGAAAAAATAACTTACTGACTTATTTATGAATTATCAACCTAATAAATTATCAGTTTCATCGGTCTGTGCATGCTTGATCAATATAGCTGACGCATTTTGTTATGCAGCTCAGTTTTGAAGATAAGAAGATTGCAACATATAAGAAGAATCTCTAAAATTAAGTTAAGACAGAGCTGATGTTGATTCTGGTGTGAAATTGATGAGTTAGATTGTCATCAGCTTTGACATGTTATTGTTGTCATTTTGTATGGGATTTTGATATAAATTGTTCATGAGTAACTAGCTGTTTTGATATGAATAAGAGAGTTGCATACTGTGAGAGTTGCTTGCTTGGATGCTAATGTATATAAAATCATATTATGAAATAATCTCCTTTATCACTTCCCCACTCCATCTTAAATGGTTAAGTACCCTCCCCAGGGTAGAATGGCTTTGGATCAAAGCAACACAGCTGGTGAACATCCAGTGATAGGTACCTGTTAATAATTGTCTGCAGGTGCAAATTATGGTTTCTTATCATTGCATGCTCACTAGTGGTCTTGCTTCAATGTAACTTTAGGCATATAACTACCTTTCAAGATCACAGGGAACTGTGGCAGTCTGTTTAGAACACACAAATATTTTAATCAATTTTATTAATGGAATGATTAAAGAAGTCTGGATTATACATGTAGGGCCCCAATAAGCCTTTTTCCAGTTCAATGAGAGCAACCACTGTTTTAGTAGACAACAGACTCGCTTGCCTAGAGAACAAAAGAAAGCATGAAAAAATCTTGACATTACAAGGGCTCTAGAAATTTGAATCTTCTTCGATTTGAGGCTTAGCCTGAGCAAGAGTTTGAACCTTCTGGGAATACAGAATCGGAGAAAATGCATATTTTTATATGGCTATTGTAACAACAACATTTTTTTGTGCTTTCTTTTGTTTTTGGTAAGGTCTTTTTGCTCATGAGAGACTTGTGAACTAAAGCAGCGGTTGCTCACTTTGAACGGGAAAAAGGCGTATTGTTCGATTGTGTTGAAATGAGAGCACACTGGAAGCTTGCCCACATGTACCAATGAACAATTGGTGTATATACTAGATATAACAATCAGGACTTTTAAATCCTTCTCCTTATGCCCTACATAAAAATCCTTTGCTGTAGTTTTGTAGCATTTTGATCATTGCTTAGAAGAAACTGGACATCAAGGAGAGGAACAGAAGTAGTAATTAGCCTGCAAGTTAGATTATAAACCCTTAAAACAAATCTTGACTTCTAATAAAGAGTGATAGAGTGAATGCATTTAATCTGTGAAATTGTAAAAAATCAAAAGAGCACAAAATCTGCCACTGAAGGAGAACTGACTTTGAAACACCATTGTTCTTTACTGATACCATTTTCTAAATTACACAAAATAGTACCAAGAGGTTCAATAAACTGCACAGATTAAGTGCATACACCCTAGTCAAATAGACAAAAAACATTTTGAAGTACACAAAGTACAAAAGTACAGCAGGCTTACATCATTTTGCAATGTTTTGAAGTCTAGTAGATGAGCTTTTAATCAAAATTATGTTAACTCTGCCCCTTAGCAATAACTGACATGATCTACAGTCTGGGCAAAATGCAGCTTTAACATTGTAAAACATTGAGTGCAACCATCTGTCAATCTGTTTTAAAAAGACAATTATTTTAAAGAAGATCACTGACATCACAAAGCACAAATGTTGTATTTCTCTGGCAACTGTTTTGCAATGAGGTGTATATCACTTTTCGCATTCATGAATTAATTAATAAATATAGATTGAAATAAGAAAAATCAATACCACATCTAGATACATTCATGAAGAATAGAGTGCACAACACATAAGTGTGAAACAATTCTTAACTAATTACCAACTAATAAGATGTAGTTATCAACTAACTAAGAATTCAGTTAGGTGTAAACAAAGACAATTTCCTTTTCAGCATTTTGTTTATGTCCCAGTGAATTCTTAGTTAGTTGATAAATATAATCTTATTAGTTGGTGATTGTTAAGAATTGTTTCACGCTTTTTTTGGAGTGCACTCTATCAATAAATATTAGATTAATACAATAAATAATCCTTGAATTCCAAAAAATTGATCAAACATGAGAACAAGACGTGCAATACACCTTTACCATAATGGCCGCCATAAACATATTTTTTTAAATTTAGAATTTTTATAGTTAAAGTAAACTAACAGCTGATAGGAATGTGTGCTAATAACAACATATGAAAGTTTGAAATGAAAAATATTAAATTCTGGTGAAGTTATAAGGATTTAAAATATATCATAACACCAGAACATAAGTCTATAAAGGCCTTGGCCAAAAATTACATACATTTCTTGTATTTTCATTTGGCCATGACATTGTTCGCATTTTATCCAGGGCTGTAAAACTTTCCAAAAATGTTTATTTCTGGTAGTTCATTCACATGACAGTGACAAAGTTTTCACATTATTTCATATTAAAATAGAAACAAATAGACAGACAGCCATTGGTGGAGTTCTAAAACGTTTCAAAAACGTTTCTTTCTGATAGTTCTTTGATGTTACAGTGACAAAATATTCACAACATATCTATTTTATTTTGGAAAAACACAATTGCAGCCAATATGGTAAAGGTGTATTTGATCAGTGTATAAAATACATCTCAACGTGCAAAAACAAACCTAGCAGTATGTCGTGTCCATTTTGATAAACCAATCAAACACTGTACCGATTCTTGATCTTTTGCTTGAATGTCAAACTACAATATAACTACAAATACAATAATAACTACAAAATTTCATTGTTTTGCAGGAATATTGGTTGGTTTTATCGAGACCAGTATGTTGGAAAGGAACCTAATGAAAAACTAAAATGGAAAATGAAAAAGCACTTGCTATCTGCAGAACAAAATCAAACATTAAATAACGCAGAGTAAGTATACATGTTTGTGAGTGTACGAAAAATATTTCAAAAACTCATTAATTATTCATGAGGTATTCAGCCAATCCCTGATTGTAATTTGTACCACATGAAGTAACTTGAAACCAGAGGAAGTACTTGTACCTTGTATTCTACCTTATTTCCAGTTACTTCTACCTTTTTCAAGTTACTTCTACATTATTTCCAGTTATTTCTACCTTATTTCCAGTTACTTCTACCATGTTTCCAACTACTACTAGCTAATGATAATCAAATTATTAGAAATAATCAGTTTAACATTAATTTAGTGAAAAAAGGTCTTTGATACATGACTCCCTCACGACTCGATCCCCTATCGTCCAGTCTATATGCGCCGTCTTATACCATTACACCACCGAGTTTCTGATGCGATTCCTCGGGAGATAACATACTTATAAATCTTATGGATTAGGCTCACTAGGAATGCCATGAATAGTAGACAAAGACAATTTGAATAGCTTTTGTTTCAGAAAGCCATCCGGGAATTGAAGAACAACAAACGGTGCTTCATGTATTCAAAATTATGAAAACTGAAAACCTTAGTGGCCAGATGCAATAAATCAATATATTTCTGTTATATGTATTTCCTTCGCTTTTTTCCCCTCCCGAATAATTAATGAGTTTTTGAAGTCGTTCAAAGGCCTCCAATTCGGACTTGACGGGATTTCAAWGTCCTTGCAATTAGTTCCAGTCCTCGGCTAACGTCTCGGACTGGAACTAATTGCGCGGACTTTGAAACCCCTTCAAGTCCTCATTGTCGGCCTTTAAACATTACATAGTGCATGCCACATTAGTGTGAAACAATTCTTAACTAATTGATACCAAATAAGGTTTAGTTATCAACTAACTACGACAGGCATTGTGCTCATGCCCCAGTGAATTCTCAGTTAGTTTTTATAACTAATCTAATATTAGTTAATCCAATTTTGATTTCAAAGTGAATAACCACTTCTTTATTTAACAACAGATTCTATGCCCAAAGACCTTACCAAACACAAAGGAAAGCACAAAAAAATGCTGTGATTAAACCTGTAAAATAATTTACATTTTCCCCTAGTTGAGGCTAACCCTGTACTCCCAGAAGGCTTTTAATATGGGATCTACAGGGTTATAGTCTCAACTCAGGAAAAATACAAATTTTCAAGGCTAGTGTAATGACATATTTTTCTTGTGCTTTCTTTTACAAAAGAGAATCTGTTGTCAAAGCAGCAGTTCCTGCTTTGAATTTAAAAACGGAATATGAAAAAATGTTGTCAGGTTCAAAAATGTTACATCATCCAATCTAAGACCAAAAGGGAACATGGGAAAACACATATTATGTGTATCAGTGCCATAAGATTGTCTGCATTGAATAACATGACCTTCTGTATGAGGAATGCTATAATGTAACATGTATTAATCTAACTACCCAAATCCCTTGTGATCTTAACTTTGATGATACAGTAATCGCACTTAAACTGTTCAACTGTACAAAATATAAGATAGATGAGATGATAGATAGTTTATTATAAAATACATAGGCAGCCAAGGGCTGAATTGCGTATTTACAAAATATATAATATAATTATTAATAATAAATATTCGTGAATAAAAATTCCAAAAACTACTATATTTATAATATAATTTGGCTTAAAAAGGTTACTCCGCTAAAAATTATTATTAATACAGCTGCTCGTTATAAACGTGTTTCTGAAACGATCTGTTTTCCATTTTGGAATGTTGAAACGTCTGTTGCTCCTTAAGGAATATGCAGCGTTGCAAGTTGCGGGCAACAAACTATGCAACCGATTATTCGGATCACTAATTACAGAGTAGGATACCTTATCACAAATTGCATCATTATATGACTCTAATGAAAGAATGCCTAGTTTCGCAAGGGCATCATTGTACGATACACCAGGGCAAATAATTGATAAAGCTCTTTTCTGGACACGTTCCAATTCGTATTTAAGATACTGCGGAAGTGAATAATGGAAGAMTGRTACKGCATAACTTAAGACTGATCTTATACATGTTGTGTAAAAAAGTACCAAGTCRTTGTAAGGTAGCTTTGCCCTTTTAAGCTGAACMAGAAAATATAAGCRTTTTGACGCTTTCTTAACTACTTCGCTTATGTGATCATTCCACGAAAGATTATTTGCTATTGTTACACCGAGTAGCTTTGTGCTATCTACAATTTGTAACTCCTTTCCATTTACAACAATAGGTTCGAACTCTSGTTGATTCTTGGCAAAAGAGATTCTTAATTCTTTACATTTAGCACTATTTAACTTTACTCGATTTACAGCAGACCACTGAGAAATATGGTCAGCTATTTGCTGTGCATTACTGGCTTTGCMCTTAGCTACAATTTCAGATGCGGTGGTATCATCAACATAAGTAGTATTAATTTGTACTAAAAGTGGACCTGAAGCAAGACGGTATTGAATGCTTCATTTGTATCAATTCAATTTAATTTGCGTACCTCATGCACAATTTATTAAATACAACTAAATAGAACTATTAAGTTTGTGCAGTTGCACGGATTAAGTGCGATCACTCTGTCAGTGCAAACCAACAATATTTTTTCAATTAGGCGTATCAGGGTAAAAGAAATACATTGTAAGTTGTGGATTTCATTCATTTTGTTGACTCAAAAACATTTTGTGATTCCTTTTATTAGAAATTTACCTGGTCTTTTTCTACATAATGTCGATCCTACATTAAAATGTTCTTATAGCCTTCTACATACAGTGTATATTACAGTTTGAATTGCACATATTTTATTGCATGACGCAGTTCATACTCATACAAGTTTTTCCAGGTGCTTTTGACTAATGAACAACAGCTAAACAGACCAGGAACAAAAAAATGAACCAGACTGGACTAGGGCACACAGGGCACTTTATTTAGTAGTTACATCATCTTAGGCTACTTCCAAAGTTCATTCATTTTTCTACTTGCCTGATGAAAATAGAGGTGATTTACATGATGGAGTCACATACTACCAAGACCAGAATGCTTTGCCAAAAGAAAGTTGGCAAAGAATTCTGGTTGTGGTAGTATATGATGCAATATTGCAAATCGCCTATTATAATAACCAATCTGATAAATGATAGGATTCTCTTTGGGCCTGTCCAGTCAGCTCTGACAAATAGAAAAAGCCGATAGTACTGTATGTTGAGTTATCTCTAGTCTAGATACAAGAAGTTAGACAGTCCAAATCCAGAGAACCTCATGGAATCCCAAAGATACAATGTACTTGGGCGAAGACTTGCTACAAGTCTCGCTCACTCTTTACTATCAAACAGTGATAAAATTTTCTGCCAGTGAAGAACTGTTACTCTGCAGAGTTAATGTTATTTGGCAAGTGTAAACAGAAAGAGACACTTGGGAGTCTTTGATATGTGGGCTTAGTTTTGATTCCAATTTCAGGTTATCCCAACCCAGAGAACCCAAAACTACTGAACTCAATTCACAGAGTGATGAGGAAATAGATGACAAGATTCCAAAATTAAAAGACCCAACCACCCTTGACCTTAGACGTGCAGAAAGTATGCGACGGCAACAATTTTACAGAGCAAAATACAATATTCCTGACAAAAACAATGATCCAGAGACTGCAAAAAATGATGCTCATGGTTTAAGGGAATCAATACGTGCAAAATGGGGTCTTAAACGAAGTAAATCATGTAGTGCAGGTACTCGTAGGAAAGATCCTAGGCTACTAACAAAGGAAGAGGAACAATTGGAACGGGAAAGAAGTAAACAACAAAGGGAAGCAATACGAGCCAGATACAATCTACATTAATAGATAATTATTAGAATATTATATAGTGCCAATATTGAAATTGTATAATAATTATAAGCTACTTGCCAAAATGGCTGCCACTTATTAGCAGAAATTTACTTCCAACCTAACACAAAATAACCCTTGAAATGTTCAAGATATCGTCAGTGTAAAATACTAGTATAAATTCCAATAAACCCACAGAGATATGAATTTTTCAGAACAGAAAAAGTTACAGAGAAATACATGTCTGGGGGTATAAGCGAATTGCCCCAACCATAAATTTTCTGTAATTTAAAAAATTACATCTCTTTTGGTTTTCATTGGAGTGTTTCATAAACTGCATACAGCAGAACCAAACAGTTGCATACAGACTAGTATTTCAAGGTATATTTTGTTTTTGTTTGTGTTGAAAAGAAAAATTATGCTAATGAGCAGAGGGTCTGGAAGTTGCCAAAGCAAGTATTAATGAATATTCATCACTTATGGTATTGATAAATTCATCCCAGATAGGCCATCCAGTCTGCAATGCTGGATGGCCATTAGAAGTATATATGGCTATAAAATTACTCTTTATCCAACCTAAGGACTTTGTTTGCTGAAGTGTACATAAAAAAACACACACACACAAAGAAAACCAATTAAAAAACCAAAACCAAAAATACAAACAAAAACAAAACAGTTGACTAAAATAGACTACTTTCGACATTGGTCGAATGGTCATGCACAAGTCAGAGGAGAATTTTGTATTGCTTGGACCCTCATTTTCAATTCTTTTGTGTGTGATTAGTCTTGACCAAAATATCAAAACTTAGCTATTGTCTCTATTGTTTTTATGGACATTCTTAATGGAAGATTTTGTACCATGTTAATGATTCATGCATAAAAGGCTTGTTGTTTAAGAAATAGTAAAGGTGCTATTTGTGAATCACATTTTTTTACATTTTGGATGGAATATTCTTAAGGCGGCAAATACGAAAAAATTCCTCAACTTGGTGCGAAAAATTGTTTCTGTTCAAGTTGAGCATCATTGTTTCTCGTTTTTCATGATGTATTTTTGTTGCATGACTACTGCATGAAAAACAAGAAACATCGATGCTCAACTTGAACAGAAACAATGAGCTCCTGTGAACATGGGACCTGTAACATCATCTTAGTTACGGTTCTCAAGATGTCTATGTGCATTGTATGTTTTCTGTGGAAAAATGTGTTGTTTTATATAAGCTTTACCAATAGCACATATACCTATTTCAAAAAATGTTGTCAGGGAAAACGACAATTGTCGTAGAGAGATTGCACAGCCGAAAGGGACTTTGGTTACACTATTTTGACAAACAGAACTTCACTTATTGGATATATCTTGCATAGAAATGGAGACTAAATGGAGTCAATGTTTACCACAGACTACTTTACAGTACAAATCAGTTGTTATTTCTTATCAACTACCAAAACCTATATAATGGTTTCTTTTGGTTGTGCAATTGTCATTTGACAGTTGACATTCGCCATTTTATCCGGAAACGACCTTTTTTGAAATAGGTATATATGCATACATTGTATAGTCAGTGACCAAAGGTTGTCGTCAACTGGGTTTCTGGTTAAAAATCAATGAACTGGCAAATTAGAGATTTGAACACCTTTGTGATTAAGAACTTAAGAACAAAAATTAACAAATCAAGGGAATTTAATTATGCACGCATGTGATTTTTGCATTTCACATTGTGTTCCATCATGGTGGGGAATACAATGTTCATTACTCATCTACAAACATGCTGCTGAAGGATAATTTCTCAAGATTAAACAACGTTCAATGTTTGTCTTCAAGTTAAAAAAAAAAAGAGAATAAAAGCAAAACAAATTGGCACTGGAAGGTGTTGTTATGATTATGTGTCAGATTTCAATAGAAAATAACACCAACACCCTAAGAATAGACTGTATTTTCTGTCCTGCACGTAAAAAAATGTGATTCACAAGCACTTTAAAACCTAATAGCTCTTTAATTTCTCTACAATGTTTCAAGCTTAATCAACAAGAGTGAATTCCATAAAACCAAAGCCAACTAGCATGTAAATGTGTACTTGAAACACTCTCATCCATTCTTAGTATAATTCCTTTGTGCTGTCTTGAATATCACATTATGCTCATTTCTTTTGCAATTTGCATGGTGCCACTACATTACCAAGAACAGAATGCTTGGCGCACTTTCTTTTGTTTTGCAATTACCCCAACAGAATGCTGTCATATTTTCTTTGTTATTCAGATTGTAATGCCTTTGTATATAACAGTATTACAATGGGGACTAATTACATATTACAAAAGAAAGCAGGCATGAACCATTCTGGTCTTGGTAGTATGTGACACTATAAATAGCCTATTGATGGTAAATGCTGTTTTGTTGCTGGTCGACATCCATTATATCATGTATATATTATCTTAGAATCAATTTATAGATCAATTAAAATACTTTTTGTAAAAGGCTATGAAATCTGAATATGCTAATAAACATTATTGAAAATTATCAATTCTAATTATCAATAATATTTTTAATTATGTGTTATTACTAATAAATAAGTGATAAATAGAGGATATTACATGGGCGCGCGGAGATACGGATTTTATCTTCGAGTGTTGAGTGAGCGTAGCGAACGAGTGAGAGATTTTCAACACGAGAAGATAAAATTCGTATCTCAAAGCGACCATGTAATATTCTGTTTATCATATAATTAAATATGAAAGCAAATTATGTCGGAAAATATCTATTTTCTTACTTCAACTATATAGAGAAACCTCGAATGTGTTATTTTCACTAGTGAAAATATATAACATGCTATTTTCACTAGTAAAAATATCAATTTTACGTAATGGAGAAATATAGGTGTTTCATAGATAATTATATGATAAAATGGTTTTCATACACATGTGAAATTATATACTAGTTCAGTTCAGTTTACTGTGTACTGTTAGACTTTAATATTAATAAGTACACTTTGTTTCACAAGTTTCTGAAAACCCCTTTAAATAATTCATAATAATAAATTAGATTTATATGTTATTAAAAAGTGAGAACACAAATGCAAAATATAACTTACTAATGTCTATTACATGTAAATAGAGTAGACACACTTATCTGTGGTGGGAACTAGCAGTAAACTAGTGTGAGCTGAGTCAGTGTTTCTAAAGATCGAAACACTTGTGTAAAAAGATAAATTTAACACCATAAAAAAGTAGGTGAAATAACTTACTGACGTTTTAGGATTAACATCCAAAATGATGTACACTTACACTGTACACTTATCTGTGAACTTAAAGAGTACAATTAAATATCTGCCAAATTATGCTAATTCCTTTGTTTCCTTATTGCCAAATTAACACATTGGTTGCACGAATTCCAACTCGACGTTTCTGGAATCCCTGATTAGAGTGTCATTAAACCTGTGAAACAGAACTTGAATATGAAAGTGTGATAGTCAAATGGATACAAAAGAAAACATAGAGGATATTACATGGTTGTGCAGAGATATCTTCAAGTGTTGAAACGATCTTTTTCAACATGAGTCTATTGTGACTGCAGGTACTACAATAACAGTAAATACAATAATATTCATATAATACAATAAGTAAATGCAAATCCTAAATAAGAGAAGTACCAGGGAGGCCAGAAAAAACCCTCACCAAAGAAGAGAAAATCTGCATGGGGCCAAGGCACGAAACTCACTTTCCCTGCAAAAGACAAAAACTCTCACAAAAAAATTTGAGTCCTAGGTTCTTAGAAACACTTAACAATTGATCTTTGGAAAAAGAAATGCATCTAAACTTTGAAGAAGGACAACACCAACCAGCGTGCCTGTCCAAAGTCCAGATTAGATGGCAGAACTTTTGCCTACAACCATCGCATGCAGCCTGCATAAGTCATTCTTACAACATAGCTATACAACTGTCGTAGGGATTCAAAACAATTGCTTAAATAGCCTCACGACACTTGTAGCCATGTTGTAAGGATGACTTATGCAGGTTACAAGCAATGGTTGTAGCCAAAAGTTGTGTCATCTAATTCAGTCTTAACAACTTATCAACAACGTCTTTATTGGCTGCATTAGACACTGCACCAGCTCTAATACTATGAGTGCAAAATGAATTAATGTCGTCAACAAATAGAGACAAATGTTCRCAAAATTCTTCTCTGATCGTAGAATAATTAACATCTTTAGAAATATGGAATCTCTCCGATGACTTGGAACTGACAATCCATCTACGAACGGGGCTGTCGGCTGCAGAGTCGCTTGGGAGGGCCCGAAATATCCTCTCACTAATACCCACAGGGCAAGTCTCTTTACCAGATCTATACAGCAATGTGTGGCCCTCTCTGTACTGGTCGTTTTTCCTCTTTCGAATAAACACCGACATGTAATTGTCGAATATCCGAATGTTCCCTATTGTTAAACTGAGCAATTCGTCTATCCTGTAAAAACCAGAGTATCCCACGAGAAGCACGAACAAGAAGCGTAGAATAGATACCTTTGACTTCTCTGTCAAAGCAGAAACAACTTTTTGGACAAACTCCAACGGAAAAGGCTCCTTCGGAGAATCTGGTTTAGCAAGCAACCGTTTAGCCGTTTCGCACCCTGAGGCAACTTTTAGCAACAGCACTGCCTGTAGGAGATGGAAAAGAGCACAACTTTGTGGACCCAGGCTATGCTATACGAAATAGCTTTTAGCGACGAGTTGGAAGCACCTTTGGAAGCAGCCTCGTAGGCCTGTTTGGTAAGGAAAAGAGCCACGTGCAGAGTATCTGCAGGCAACATACGGAAACCGCCAACGAACTCCATTTTTTCACCCAGAACTGTACTTAGAGATGGTTGAAGGGACCTTGAAAGACAACTGCAGATCCACCAGGCCAGGTAACAAAGCAATGATAGATTCATCTTGAATAAGAGCATCTTGGCTCTAAACATTGTCATTAAGGATATCTGAAAGAAACTGAAACAAAGCAGCAACGTAAGAGACTAACCTAAAATATCGTCAACAAACGGTGAGCCTAATATGGCAATTAACTCTTACACCAAAAGGTAGGTCATACAATTAACGTGTATAACAAATTATTCATCAGATGACGCACCAGATACGGGATAAAACAATAACAATAACAACAACAACAACAAAAAAGACAATTTCAAATAAATCATCGGCACCAAAACGGCGATCATACTTAAGACATGCCAAAAACTTTCACCAAACAGTGTGCCATACTAAAGGCATATACTTATTTCAAAAAAGGTTGTCGGATAAAATGGTGAATGGAAATTGTCAAACAGCGATTGTACGACTGAAAGGAGTCATGGACCTTGCTAATGGATGGGAAATAATAACTGATTTTAAGCGTAAGATATTCTATGGTCATCATTGGCTCCATTTAGTTTCCTTTTCACGCAAGTAAACCAAAAAATGGGAAATAATAACTGATTTCTACCGTAAGATATTCTATGGTCATCATTTAGTCTCCATGTTCACGCAAGTTAACCCAACAATTGAATTTTTTGGATGTCAAACAGCGTAACCATAGTCCCTTTCGGTCGTGCATTCTCCCTTCGCCAATCACCTCTCGCCGTTCTCCCCGACAACATTTTTTGAAATAAGTGTATACAAACTAGCCGCAAAGCTAACATATTAAAACTTGGACAACCCGAAAAAAACATTTTCTTTCTTGGTAGCTTGGTGTACGTTGCCTTTTGCCAACGAACCTCGATGATAAGGTCAGGGAATCTTGGAAGGACAATCAACCCTTGACAAATGACTTGACAAGTATGTAGATAAGGCCAAAACAGAGCAGAATGCCATTCGGGAATGACCAGAGTACCGTTTCGGGAATGACCATTTGAGGGCATGTAATTTCTTGATGGTGGAAATGATCAAATTCAAATTTGGAGGACATAGCCAGTTGTTCATTAAAGACTAGTCTTGTCTGAAAGCGTCAATACCAGCGCTTCCTSGAGAGGAGAACTTGGAATTATAAGTAGGCAGCTGCACATTGTAGTACGAAGCGAAGCGATCCACGGAATAAGGGCCCCTGAAGGAGTTTTAACTCTTAAAAGCCAGTTGAATACCCTTATGTTAAGCAACCAATCATCAGCATCCTGGAATCTGCTTAGTAGATCGGCTATAACGTTCGCTCCACGTGGAATCCATTGTGCCTCAATCTGAATATGGTTGGAAATGCATAGATTGAAAATAGCAAGTGCAATCTGCTGAAGCTCACCATTAGGACTACCAATCTGTACAATTATAGTTGCTCCTTGGTTGTCTGTGAAAAACTTTACTTTTCTGTTACGTAAATGTCTGACGTAGGACAGGGATACCAAATAAATAGCTTTGAGCTCCTGATAGTAGTATGCAAATGAGAGTTCTGCCCCATAATTTGGGAGGTTGGGAGGTTTTCGCCCGTGAGCCCGCGAGGTCCCGTTCCTGAGCCCGCGAGGGCAACGGCAGGTGTCAAAAACCTATTTTGAGAGGTTTCGCATAGGTCGGTAGGTTTGTTCTGAGGTACTTACCTTTTAAGGTAAGTAAAAAAGTAAAAAAAAGTGTTTTTTGAATCATTAACACTAATCACACGGCTGTTGTCTAGCAAACCTCCAAATCGGTGGTTTATGGAACATTACCTTGAGTGTTTTTTGAAGCGTCAAATCTCTGTTAAAACTTTTATTGATTAATGAACAACACAGCTGGACGAGTTGGTTTATTTTAATTGTAGTCATAGAACATGCAAAGAACACGCGTTTTCTTTTGATTGACATCAATATAAGTGGTTTTCACCTGTTTTTATTTTATTTTTTTATTCTATCCAATCACATCTCGTCGGCAGTCTCAGCGAGGTCGGAAATTAATTTTTCTTCCTGAATTTCCTCCTTCTAAAGGCTATAACTTTCTTTCATTTTTATATAATCAGTATTTTGTTTTGGAAAGCGGCCACCTGCTCCAATATTTTTTCATGCATAATAATTTTCCTTCTATCCAATCACATCTCGCCGGTTTCAGTATTGAATAAATATGATCGTTTAAGGAGTTTGCGTTCACAACCCCAACCATTTCAAAGCAGATTTCAGATATGGAGTTCAGTTCGCAAGAATGGCAATCGCGTTTAGCCAACCTTTTCAATTCTTCCATCCCAGATATTCAGGTATTTATTTAATCCGTTTGAGATTCATTTCGATTATTTTTTCTTYATCGCTTTTCTTAATTTCAGGATCAGGGACCTTCTTTGAACGRTCACAACGTTGTTGAAAACACTGTTGTTCAGCATCAAGAGGTTCGCTCGCAAACACGTGTCTTTGATGTGTTCCTTTCTTCAATCTTTGACTCTTCAATTCATCTTCTTTTTAGGTTCCTAACACTTTCGAAACATTAGATCTTGAAATGCTTGCTGATCCATCCGCCGAGGTTTGTTTTTGACTTACTTCAATCATCATTTTTCGCAATTTATTCTTTTTCTTTTGAATTTTCTTTCGTTGTTTATTCAGCTTTATCAACTTGATGAAAACATATTGAGTGGAGCGAATGCGCTCTGCGCACCACAAGAGGAACAACAAAACAGCAAAGTAAGTAAGTTTCTCACTCAATTGACTTCAACAAATTCTCATTGTCATTATCTTTTTTTATAGAGATTCCATTGCGATCAATGTGATAAAACGTTCGCCCATGACAGTGCGCTGAAACGACACACTCGTCAGAAGCATCAAATGACAAGTAAAATGAATTGTTCCAAATGTGGAATCAAAATATCCAGGCGCGACAATTTAAAAAGACACGAGCTGAAATGTATTAAGAGAAAAAGACGTTCAGAAGACGATGGCAGTCAAGCTGAAAGAAAAAAAAACCGATCAGAGCAAGAAGTAATTGAATACGAGGTAAATACTCGGCGTAATTTTCCACAATCCTATTTTTTAAGCCTTCCCTTCACACAAGTGTTCGTGAGCCTTCAATCTTTGTGGTCACCGGTTTTCACAAAGGAACCCCAATTTCGACAAAGGAATGCTATATCATCCCATTTTTCAATTCACAATTGGGAATGATATTAAAATAAAACCATTTTTGTTGCAAAAACAATCATCACTAGATAATGAAATTAGAAAGAGATCAAAGGCGGATGAAATTCTAACCATTTTTTCTTGCAGTTGGCAAATATCCCTCAAGAAATGTACAACAGATACGATGGACCATGGTTGGATGATGAAGATTTGGAGGTAAGACTCTTTTAGAATTCTAAACACAGGAAGCCCATCTGTTCCTAGATTATTCTCAATAATACACATAATTCAGATTGTTTCGATTTCCAATATCAAATTTCAAATCTTCTCATCTCATAGAATTTACAAGTTGGTGGTGGAGACGAAGAACAAGAGGAATGCGCTCTCGAACAAAATGCGACTGTATTCAAATATATTCCCAACAAACACGAAAAAACGGATTTACTCCTCACCCTGCAAGGAAAAAAGGAAAAGATTATAAAACAGATCCAAAAACAACTCAAAAAGCATCGAGGTATAAAGTGGTCCCTATGTTCCAAAGTGAGAATGATCAAATCAGCACCCGAAGAAGAAGACCACATTGCTACTCCACATTTCCGAAGCCGGTGTCAAACCACCACCGATCCTCACACTTTAGAACACCAATACAATGAAGCTRTGGRAAAAATGAAAAACTCATTCCTCGAGTACCAGAGAGAGGGCAGCGGCTGGCAACTGGATGAGGTCAGCATCTTTTTGTGATGCAATCATAATTGAAGAGGAACTAAAAACATTATTTCTGAATAGGTTCTCCACTTGGAGTTGAATGTTGTGACATACAACCCACTTCATGGCTCAAGCTATCTTCCCCTTCCCAAGAGGATTAAAGACAAAAAGGCGGTCCTGAACATCCAAAATGAAGACCAGAAATGTTTTCTGTGGTCGGTGGTGGCAGCACTCCATCCCGTCCAAAGGTCCGCTAACCCACAACGTGTTCACCACTACAAAAAGTATGAACACGAGCTCAACATGGAGGGAGTAGATTACACAGTTCAAGTCAAGCAAATCTCTAAAGTTGAACGTCAGAACAACATCAGTATCAATATCTTTGGTTTCGAAGACAATGAACTGTTCCCGCTTTACATTACCAAAGAAAAACAAGTAACGCATATTAATTTACTATTATATTCATATGAAGATAAGAGACATTATTGTCTCATCAGAAATTTTAGTAGATTAATGGGTAGTTTAACAAATCACAACGGAGAACGATATTACTGTGTCTACTGTTTGCATGGTTTTGTCCGGCAAGCTTTGTTGGAAGACCACGAATCCCGCTGTGGTCGGCATGGACCCCAACGGATTCGGTTGCCAGATAAAGACCACGCAACGTTGTCGTTCAAAGAGGTACAGAAGCAGCTCAAAGTCCCTTGCATCATTTATGCAGATTTTGAGTCTATTTTAGTCCCGTGTGCTTCTTCCCCTTTGGACGATAACATGAGTGGAACACAGAAAACTCAGCATCATCAGCCCTGTGGGTTTGGGTATGTTGTGGTCTCCACTGTTGAGCAGTTAAACCAAGCTCCAGTGATTTATAGAGGGAAAGACTGTGTCGATAGGTTTTTGCAGTGTTTGTTAGAGGAAGAAAAACGGATTTCAGCGGTTCTTGAGCAGGTGGCTCCCATGATCATCACAGAGGAGCAGGAGTGTGAATTTCAAAATGCCACTCATTGTCACATTTGCAATCACCTGCTTGGGGCCGATAGAGTTCGCGATCACTGTCACGTGACCGGATATTACCGTGGCCCCGCCCACAATGAGTGCAATTTGAACTACAAGTTTTCTGGGAAGCTTCCTGTAATCTTTCATAACCTTAGAGGGTATGACGAGCATCTGGTGAGTTGCATTGCAAACAATCCAGAAAAGTATATCTCCTTTTCGGTGGGYAATCTCGTTTTCATTGACTCCCTTCAGTTTTTAAATAGTTATTTGGAGCGTCTAGTGGATAATCTCAGCAAAGAGGTCGTGGAAAAATTTAAGACATTGGCACGGTATGTGGACGAGGACAAGGTTCCTCTCCTCTTGCGCAAGGGCGTTTATCCTTACGAATATTTAGATTCCTTTGAAAAGTTTGAAGAACCTCAGTTGCCTAGCATAGATTGTTTTTTCAGCTCGTTGGCCGGAAGTTCTGTCTCTGTACCTGATTACGAGCATGCTCAAGAGGTCTTTCACACTTTTCAGTGTCAGAATTTAGGTGATTACCATGATTTGTACTTAAAGTCGGATATTCTCCTGTTGGCCGATGTTTTTGAGAATTTTCGCCTAATCTGTCTAGAATATTATCAGTTGGATCCAGGTCACTTTTTCACGGCTCCCGGTTTGTCATGGGCTGCCTGTTTGAAAATGACAGAGGTCGAATTAGAACTCTTAAGAGATCCGGATATGTATCTGTTTGTAGAGG